GCTGAGATCTGTCACTGCATTAGACCGTAGTCATTTATTAGGCTGAGGTCTTTCTTGTGACTGAGGAGGTATGTCCAGCTAATACACTGGATCAGTCATGATGCCTAGTCCTGCTAAGACAATAGTCTGTTATTATGTGTCGGTCTTTCATAGGAAAGCTGTCATATTTACACAGTCTCCTCTGTCGTTACATTAAATAAAGATTTAAGATAAATACGAGGGCTGATTGAAGTTGGATGCCTTCTATTTAAGAGTTTGGATTAAGACAGACATATAGGCATTATTTTTCATCAGAATCCCCTTCAATATCTATATACCTTTGCCAGCGAGGTTTAATGGCATAACTAATTTTAATGTTTAAAAAGACCTCCACTGCATGTAAGTCGTCATCATCTGACCGAAATGTGTACCGGAAATGGCTTTTTTAAATTTTAGACATAGATGAAAGTCTGATGGAGGGAGATCAGGCGAATAAAGAGGATGTTCAATCAATTCAAAGCCACAATCATTAATGGCAGCCATGACAATGACAGACTTGTGAATAGGGACATTGTCCTGGTGGAACAACCCACCTTTACTGAATTTTCCGCTATGTTTGAGTTTAATAGTTTCTCTGAACTGCCTAAGAAGGGATGCATGATGTTATATTGATTGTTGGTCCCTTTTGCAGATAATCTCATCAGCATCCCAGAAAACCGATGCACTAACCTTTCCAGTTGATGAAACAGTCTTTGCCTTCTTTGGTGGGGGTGAACCAGGTGCTTCTATTGTTTAGACTGTCGGCATCTATGGTGAAATGAAGGCTTACGTTTTATCCATAGTCACAAACCTATGCGTGTAAAACGTTCAGACAAAGTCCGCCTGGTGTGCTTCTGATCAACTGTCCAAAGTCTTGGTACCCAACGGGTTGAAAGTTTTCTTGTTGCAAGATCTTCCGTGAGATTGGAATGTACTATTTTCTGTGAAATCCCAACTATACTGGCTAGATATCACGATAAAACTGTAACGTCTCTGTCAGTCAAAACAATATCATGGACTTTATTGACCATTTTGTGGTTAAAACAGTATCAGGCCTCCCAGGACGGGCGTCATCCCCAAGGTTCTGCATTCTACGCTTAAATTCCGTCACCCGCCATTTCACTTTTCAATTTTGCAAAAGTCACTCGCCTTATTTAGTCTAGGGTGCAATATCTTCGCCATAAATTGGCGAAATGATAGTCGTAAAAGGACATTCTTGCTTAAGAAAATACCAACATGGCAACATAATCATAATTCAAACTCATATTCAATAAAACCTGGGTAAAATATGAGCAAAAGAAAGATTTACACTGAAACTCCTGAAAAAAGTACAAGAATAAGGCCAGGTGTTCCGGATGAGTAAGCGGGGGAGGAGTTTGACAACCCCCAATTATATTTCTCATAAGCTATAAGAATACTTTCAATGTTTGTAGCAAATTGTGCATTGTTTTTACCTTTTTAATTTGATTTATGCCATGATGAATTAAGTAACATGTCGTTAATTTAAATTAGTGCTAATATATAATAATAAAATATTATATATTAAAAGTCACTTTACGCTGACCATATTGATTCACATCATTCTTTGGTTGTAAATGTGACAAAGCGAAGGATACATAATATAACATCTAAGTATAACCTTAATTTCTCTGAATCAGGAGGACCTGTTACAGTAGTAACTCCTACCACAAAATTAACACAAATACAAAAATACACTGACATTCCACTTTTTATAAAATATTCAATCAAATTTACACGAGGTGAAGATTCTATCAATTTAATTCCACTTTTTATTTGCAGATTTCTGCAAACTATTACCTATTTAGAAAATGATTTAAAACGTTTTTTCAGCAGTTCCTTCAATTAAAAGATAATTCGATTTCTACATTAAAAACAACTCCAAGTCAGCCCCTCTGGGCAACTTTGAATATTTATAAAATTTGTGAAAGCGTGCTCTCTCATTTATGAAATTGAAACACACAAGCTTATTTCAATGCAGTTGTACAATGCCCAGTATCGATATTGGTGATTAATAATTCGATATTTTGTATAAAAAATGCATCACAAGCCTTTACATGTTCAATATTCAAATGCTTCTTAGCAATAATCGTTGCTTGATATTTTTTTCACAGCGGTGACTGTTAATTATTTAGAGATCGATCTGTAGTGCGTGCTGATTGGTATCACAATACTATACAGTTTCTCGTTTCTATGTTACAGAATAGATTTTATATGTAATTCAAAGATGACCCATTATTTTTTATTTAATTGTAGATCCTATTACGGGCCTATTTTTGTTACAAAATGTCAATATAAAATGACAAAAATGAATTGTGTTGCAATTAATTTGAAGTAAAACCATACAACAGTTGGACTATAAAGAAAGTTTTATCTTCCTTCCTACTGATTCGCGTAGGAACATCAAAGCCAGTCATTTAAAAAAAAATATATGTAATTTATCTTACTGATACTGAAATTGTACAGGTTTCTAATCCAAATTAAAAAGGATTTTTTCAGTGTATTGTTAAATTTGATTCTACATCTTACATACGCGGTTCAGCTCAATTGGAAATAATAAAACGCGTAAATAAATTTTGTTTTCCTACGACCGTAATTATTTAAACAGATGTCCGTCACATTTGTGTGTACCTGTGATAGGACTGACTCATGTTTTCAATAATCTGAAATATTTCTATCTGATTCGAAGGTGAGATAGACATATCTGGACTTAACAAAATTAAAAATCTGAATTGTTCCTTGTAGACAACGGAAATCGTTTATTCTAACGTAACAACTTAGTCATATGACAAGTCGTTTGCTTGTGACTATTACCCGGACACACTTTGGTATTGTGATATAGACTATACCCAATTAGTGTCTCATCCTGTTCCTCTTCCGGTTCCATTGCGCGGAGAGAAGTTATTGATCTCCTGGATCTATTGAACTCTTGGAAGATAGGAACAAATTATTGACATCCAAAGCTTCTTTGTTGTGGTATTTTTGTTCAGAAATCTTATATATACAACTTCGCGAACTTTGCATGGTGCATTCTAATGCCTACTACAACTTTTAATTTCAACATAAATAAGACAATGCAGTGAATTACGGTCCTCCATTGTCACACTCCCTTACCAAGATAAACCCATACCCCAATTATTGTTGGATATAGACCCCGGTCAAACTTGTGTTTGAGGTAGATCTACAGCCAAACAATGTACATGTATATACTGAACGGAAAATGAAAGTAGGACATTTTGCAGGTAATAATTGATATATAGAGGTAAAAGCATGATTTACTAGCTATAAATATCATAACTGAAGAATATGTATTCAGTTCTCCATTCTCGGGTGTTAAAACCCTTGTTTCTTTGATTCAGATATATGGATCGTTTGTTGGGAGTTCGTCCCTGTGGTGGTGGTGGTGGCTGGAGTAAGAGTTTTCTTACCTGTAAATAACAAATACCTTTGGTATTGATACATAAGATAAGTACCCAACTAAACTGTCGTGTTTCTGCCTAATTATCACCCAGATCAGTCATCGTGTCGAAATATAAAAGATTCTGTTTAGTAAACATCTATCCCCAACATTAACGATAGATTTACCGTGTACCATTTTCAGTATACCAATGACTGGTCATCTTACAATGCAAGTCGTGTACTGGTCATATCCATGTCTTTTTGTCAGTTTCATATCATTACCTTGTGAACTGACAATAGTTATAGGTAACCACGAGAAAACTGAATAAAAAGTGTTAGAATATACCCTAGATAGATAATATTTACTGCCTATAAAGCTTGACAGACTCAGAATTACGGATATAGGACTTCCTGCTGGTCATCCAGTCGAGGATACAGACCGGTACGGTGGTCATTAGTGTGGATTACGATCTTGCCCTTTTGCTGACCATAAGGAATTTGAACAGGTTCAGTTACTCGTGTGAAATCCGTCACAAAGCCTCACTATCTCTGAGAGGACGTATAAAATCATCGTCATCGGTAAGTTTGACTTTTCGAAACATCATATTGTCTAGTGCCTTGATCTTTGTTTCTAAAAAAAACCCAAAAACCCAATTTGCATAGAACTAAATTTTGCTAAGGTTGAAATTTTGTAATCTGTTGAAATCTGGAATTTTTTGTCACTGTTCTGTTCAGGAAGGGAAAGGTTTACCAAATTTTATTTTATATCAGATTAAGACAATTTCATATATATATTTTCTTTTATCACATAACTGCGTGGCGTCATATATACGCCACGTATAGTTGGGGCCGAATTAAGTCCGTCAGACAAGGAAATTAAGTTGAGAAATAGAAATTCATACTCGTGCCGATATAACAATTACAAAGAATAAATAAAAACGAGTTCAATAATTTGCTGTCACTGAAATCTGTATTACATCTCAATCCTATATATGTACGAAAAACGTGATGATTTCAATTTACCTATGTTTGAATTATCATTTCTAGACTGCAACATTCGTAAATCCCCCAACCTATGGTGTTAACATGTCGCTCGCATTGGATTTTCTATTCTACGGCATGTTCACATTATTACGATTTTCGTGCATGAAGTCGTCAACTGAGGACAAACTTTAGTTTTTCGGTCGTCATAGTGATCTCATCGAGAAATATCCTATTTCTTTAAGATAAATGAAACTAGGCGTGTTTGATGCGTTAGTTTGCCTGCTATTTGTGAACGTGACATTATTTGATAAAGGTTTACATGGCGGTGTCATCGATGAAGCAGAAGACGCTTATTTTTGCGGAGTACCTGGTCTTATTACCCTTTTGCTTTTTATGGAGTCTCCGTGTAAATCTTTCTTTTATTAGAATTTTGCTCTAGTTTTATTGGATTTGAGTTTGAATTATGATTATGTTGCCATGTTATTATTTTCTTATTGTTTTCCCCCTAAAAGATCCACTGTTTATGTAAAATGAAAACATATGTATAATTATTACTTTTGTTTCCATAGGGCTTTACCAATATGAGATCGGTGAGGCGAGATACCATGCATATTGTTGCTGTTGTCATCACCTTCTTTATAGCAACTGTGAGGGGCCAGGAGTCGTCTATTGTCAACACAGCGATGGGGACGCTGGTAGGTTTTGCGGTACCGGCTAAAAACAACGAACTGAGGGGCATGGTTCACAGTTTTCTAAACATTCCGTACGCCAAATCCCCGGAGGGAGATCTCGCCTTTAAAAAGCCACAAGAGTACGGTCCTTGGACAGGGAACAGGGACGCTACCGTTAGAGGGCCTATGTGCGTGCAAGGGTTTAAGTTCCCAGGACCACAAATGTACCCCGAATCCATTGATTGTTTGACACTGGACATTCGGGTACCCCATAATGTTTCACGATCCAACAGTATACCCGTGATAATATGGATACCCGGGGGTGGATATTTTTTCGGTGGCACACATTACACCGATGCCTCCGTATTTTCCGTATTATCGAACACAATCACGGTAACTTTTAACAACCGACTCGGCGTGTACGGTTTACTTTCGACTGGAGATGCCGAATGTCCGGGAAATTACGCATTGTGGGACCAGAAGATGGCAATAGAATGGGTTCACAAGTACATAGACGCATTTGGAGGCGACCCCAATCGTATAACTTTGGTTGGACATTCCACTGGTGCCAGTGCTATAACTTACCATGCGATGATGCCTGACAACATTGGACGCTTCCAGCGTATCATTCTAATGAGTGGGACTGCAACGGCGCCAGGAGAATATTTGAGCAACCCTCGCAAGGAACTGATAGCTGTTAACTCGGAGATTATGTGTGGTGACTACACTGAAGATAATTTTGACAGCAAAGCATTTATGGAATGTATAAGAGGCAAAACTACAGATCAGCTCGTTTCGGCTTTAACAACCTACGCCGAAAAAATTACGACGGAAGCAACCGGCATTAGGTTAAAACCTGTAATGAGCATTGTCAAAGACGGGGACTTCATACGAGACGATCCATCGAAGGTGTTGGCAGACAGAAAATCCCGAGAATATAGCATGCTGCGGTCTTTAGATATTTTGGCGGGAAACGTGGAACAAGAGGGATCTCAGGTAGACGGCATAATCACAGGAAATGTGAGGGTAAGATGGAACCTTACTGAGAGTATAGAATTCTCCTCAGATTTATTGTGTCAAGAATTGGCACCGGTGATTGCAAAAGAAGTGTATAACGTGACGTCAGCGAATGCATCAAAAGCTGTGTGCGATATGTACACTGTTGAAGGCGGAAATAACGCTAATATTGTTAATCAAAGTATCGCCTTTTCAAATCTATATGGTGACGTCATGGGAGTGGCCCCTCTTGTTGAAATTTTAAGGATACATTCGAAGGACAACCTGGAGACTTCTGCATTCCAGTACATATTCATGAAGGAGTATCCATATGGCTATTACTTTGGGAGGTGGCCATGGCAATATGGAGTAGGTCAAGGTCAGGATTTATCCTATCTGTTTGATGTTTACACCTACCCATACATGATGAACCAAGACGACCTTGATATGTCCTTGAAATATATCACATGGTTTGCAAATTTCGCACGCAATGGGTAGGTATGAGGTGGCTTTCAATATTTCTCTTTAATAATATTTCTCACCAGACAAAAATTCAGTTGCTTCTCCTCTGATAACAGTTTCAGTTGAGTCAGTACAATCCTGTTTCTCATCTGATAACAGTTTCAGTTGAGTCAGTACAATCCTGTTTCTCATCTGATAACAGTTTCAGTTGAGTCAGTACAATCCTGTTTCTCATCTGATAACAGTTTTAGGTGAGTCAGTACAATCCTGTTTCTCATCTGATAACAGTTTCAGTTGAGTCAGTACAATCATATTTCTCATCTGATAACAGTTTCAGTTGAGTCAGTACAATCCTGTTTCTCATCTGATTCTCATCTGTTTTTTAGGTGAGTCAATCCTGTTTCTCATCTGATAACAGTTTTAGGTGAGTCAGTACAATCATATTTCTCATCTGATAACAGTTTTAGGTGAGTCAGTACAATCCTGTTTCTCATCTGATAACAGTTTTAGGTGAGTCAGTACAATCCTGTTTCTCATCTGATAACAGTTTCAGTTGAGTCAGTACAATCCTGTTTCTCATCTGAAATCAGTTTCAGTTGAGTCAGTACAATCATATTTCTCATCTGATAACAGTTTCACTAGAGTCAGTTCAGTCATGTTTCTTATCTAACATGAGCACGTAACCGAGATGACTTTCACGAACTTACCGTACATGCTCACAGACACACGTGTTCAACACGTGCTTTGTCGAGGTATTCATACACGACCCTAGCTGTTGATAGGACGTTAAACAATTTAAAATCAAACCAAAGTCTCCCTTGCATTAATCTTGACTAAACGAATTTTATCATTATTATCACTTTTCTTCCTATACAGTATTACTTATCAGTGCTTTCATTGGCAGCGAAATATAAGTAATAATGAAAATAATTAATGGTAACCCTAATTGCCGTTCGTTACTTTTCTATACTTATCTGTAAAGAAAGGCACCCCGTGACTTAAAAACATGATCCTTATCTTAGTTTACCTGTCGTATTTTACAAATAACTACTCTATCTATTCTGTTTTCATTTTTACATTTCAGCAACCCAAACTCACCGAATGCAAACGTAACGTGGCCTAGGTACACATATGAGCAGAAGGAATATTTGGAGCTTGACCTTGTTTCTGTTCCAAAGAAAAACTTGTTGTCGGAAAGAATGACATTTTGGTTGGATACGTTCCCTCGTCTGGTAGCAGAAATACTAACTCCGCCTACAACTACAACTACAACAACAACAACAACTACAACGACAACAACAACTACAACAACTACTACCACAACAACGCCCCGACAGACCACACCCCAACCTGTCAAAACGCCAGGACCTTCACCTTCAGGAAATGCCGGAAGTGACGACGATGCAGACAATGTGAACTCAGGAAGGAGAACAAAGTCTGGCGAATACCTTTTCCTTTTCCTTTCCTTCGCTGTTTTAGTTTATAATGGACGACAATAATGAAACGCGATGTTTGTTCACACAACCAAGATGTAATTCGCAGTGTGATGCTCACAAATTTAAGTTCTTTTTACAACAACAACAAAAAAACCAAACAAACAAACAAACAAACAAACAAACAAACGCGATCATTGTTTATACCAAATTACATGTATTCAGTGAAAAGGGCATTCATGATACCAAGTTATTCATTTGTTTCTTATACCAAAATATTCAGATAAAATTTCGTTCATTCTATATACAAATTCTATTCCAGGTTTCCCAGATAAAACGAAGTGATTAAGACAAAAACATGTTAATTGCTCACAAATAATCATGATATTGAAAAAATAACGAACGCTTCGAAAAGTTTGTTTTGGTCCCATGCTTATTAATATTTATTCATTATTCGATACTATAACATATCAAACAAAAATAATGTATATTGTGTTTGCTTCCATACGACTTTATTAGCTGGCACTGCTTGTAAATATCATGATATATCATTTGACTTTTGCAAAAAATTAAAATGTCGCTTTTATCATCTTTACACAACTTTGATGCGATAATTCAAGTCATTAATATGTATTACTTTAGACTATATACTTGTCTGTAGTAACACGTGTTCATGTCGACGTAAGCATCTTTATTATGAATATATTGCCGATGTATTTTAAATTTGAGACCATTTAGCAATATATATACACCATCTGTGTTGATTGTAGTATCGTATTATTTTATACGTGTCTCAGCATTATAAATACACTATGTATATGCACATATATCAGTTTCTCTAATATCCCGCCATGTTGGATAGAGTTTGCCCATGTAAGATTGCTATGTAATAAAATTCTATCTTTCAAACATTTTCGCATATGCTGTTTAAATCTGCATTCAGGGGAGACAACTCTTACAGCATCGTCTAATCTGCCAGCCGTTTCGTTTACCACCGTCATGATAACAAAGTACACTGACTGAAAGACAGAAGTGTATGATTTCTAATATACACTAAAACACGGATTTGGTTCCTTCAACCCAAATACTATCCTTAGTCTCCTCGTCTAGTTAAGATTTTACATTTGATACCACAACATGTTGACCTTCCTAGTCACAATATGAAAACACTGTTATTTTGTCGAGGGCGAAGCTAGAAACACAAGTGACGAGACGCTGACAAGCTACTTTTGTCTTTCTGTCCCGAGTCAAGTTAATATTTTAAGACACTGACTATGTGTTCTCTACTACTGTATCTAATTCTGAATTAACACTACCAATGCTAAACACTTGTGTGTTTTTTGTACTATCCTTGAGGAAAGAATATTTGTTTAGTATGTTAAAAAAAAAAAAAAAAAAAAACCACACGTAACATTGTGATTTGAGTCGATAATATCAGTCTATATTCAATAACACAGGTGATACTGCAATGTATTATTACCTATCTATACACTGTACATGTGTTTAATGACATGCAATATCGAAAAAAAAAAATTTGTAACAAATTTATTAGCTGTGTTAAAACAAGACTAGAAGCATATATTTCCTTCAAAAAATTGAATGATTCTTACTTGGGTCACACGTTTTGGCCTTTTCACATGAAACACAACACCTGGAAATGTAATCACCACCGATATGAGTGTAACAGTAGGTAGAGAAGTTTCCTATCAGTGTCTCACACGTGTGATCAGTCACAATAAACCCGATCTCGTCTCTACACCCAGTCACTAAATCTGAAAAATAGAAAAAGAGACAAAATTAGCATTTCCGAACGGTATAACACTCGGGTATTCATAGGGTTTTTCCATCATACCAATAGTGACGTTTAATACCGGAACATCACGAATGCTTTTCAGTTGACGGTCGTCGTCGGGACCGGTCAGTACGTATACTGGTCAGACTACATTTGTGAACGTGAAGACGTTTATGATTAAGGAATAGAAGATTCTCTCTGTCATATGGTATATATATATACTACTCACAATTTGATAGGGATCACTTTTTTATTTAATGTGTAACGGTATCTATTTTAAGAATATATTCTACAATTCAATTTATACATATTTCGGCATTATAAGATGAAGATTTAACAACACCAAGCGAAGAATAATAGTACCAATTTGTTTCAATGCTCATTGTACACACATACCCCGAAAATCGCAAATTAAGACAAAAAGGGCGAAAAATTAAGTCCTATGAAACAGTGTCGTTCAGCGAAAAATACAATGTTAGTATCGAGTATAACGTCCTCGAGCTCTGGCAGCGGCGGCGCATGCTTCTGATCAAGTCTCGTATTCGGTTTTGGGAAATTCTTGTCTATTCAGCGACGAGAGCTGCTTGGAGTTCCTGAAGCGTTCTAGGTTGGATGTTTCTCGTCGAAACAGCGTTCTGAAGCATGTCCCACACGTGTTCTATAGGATTGAGATCTGGAGATCGGGCTGGCCAGTCCATCCTCTCAATTGTTTCCCTTTCCAAATACTGTTCAGTCACACGAGCTCTGTGTGGTCGCGCATTATCGTCCATAAGAATGAATTCCGGACCTATAGCACCAGCATAAGGCCTGACGTACACGTCCAGGACTTCCTCACAGTACCTCTGTGCAGTCAAACTGCCATTAAGGAACATATGAAGGTTGGTCTTGCCTTGCATGCTAATGATACCCAAAACCATAACAGATCCACCACCGTATCGATCATGTTGGGAAACGTTAGCGGCATGGAACCTCTCATTTGGTAGTCGCCACACCCTGGCACGTCGGTCAGTGAAATCTAAGCAAAATCTAGACTCGTCTGTAAAAAGCACGGGGGACCAGTCATGGAGTTTCCAATTCACATGATCACGAACCCAAGCAAGTCTAGCTTGAACATGTCGTAACGTCAAAGAAATTCCCACAGCAGGTCTGCGCGACCTTAAACCAGCATCATGAAGTCTATTTCTCACAGTTTGTGTGGAGATACGAGTTCCGGTGGCATTCTGGAAGTCATTACGTAGTGACGTAGCGTTGATGAACCTTTGACGTCGAGCTGCAATAACAAGATAGCGGTCTTGACGCTGCGAGGTAACTTGTTCCCGACCCCCACCCTGTCTTCTGGAGACAGTTCCATAATTTTGGTAACGATTCCACATACGGGACACAACACTCCGGGACACACCAAGGTCATTGGCCATCTCCCTTTGTGACCTACCAGACTGGATCATACCAATGCCCCTGTCCATATCTGAAGTGCTTAGACGTCTTCTTGCATGCTGTCGGGGCATTTTGAAACCATTAAAATTCAAAATGTAAAGCAAAAAGCGAGATATTCTGCCACAAATATATTGATGACAATCTGCACGTAAGAGGCTCGTGCGTGTACACGTGAAGTGTAGGCGTTACGGGTGACTGACCACATAAACACCCGATACACATAGACCTCGGTACAGATATAAACCAATAAATACAAGGAATACGTATTATTTTATTTTAAAAGAAAATTTTGCTGATTATTAGGTGTGATCCCTATCAAATTGTGAGTATTATATATATATATATATATATATATATATATATATATATATATATATATATATATAATATATATCAGGCTATACAAGTATGTACCCATCACAATATCGATACCAGTACATCTATATTGTTTGTTTCTCGCCTCGTGAACATTCATGGCCATTTGGAGACGAGAATCTCCTCACAGTAGGTAGTGGATACCAAATTGAACAACATACGGAAGGACTCATCGCATGACATCATGAACAATTATGGACACAACCAGGCTAGATCGTCACCACGGGGAGGGATCGTCAAACCACGCACATTGGAACTTCCCCAGCTCAGGTTATGTACGAGGACTGATTAATAAGTTATGAGCCTCATATTTAAAGGTTTTACTTTTGGCGGATATATTGATTATTTCTAACATAATCTTTTCAATAGTATCTATCAACTTTTGCCAGCGACGTTTAATGGCCCCAATGCCATTGTTAAACAGGTCCTTTTCCTGACCGTTCACACTGAATGTATGACGTCATCATTTGACTGAAAGTTGGTACCGAAAATGGCCTTTTTCAATTTTGGAAATAGATGAAAGTCTGATGGAACAAGATCCCAGGAGTTTAGAACCACCTACTTAACCCCAACTGAAATATCAAACGACACTGTGTATACACTTGTGTAGGGCAAGTAAGCTAGCTGATTGATTTAGAAGTATTTTGTTGAAAATTAGCATTAAAAAAATAGCCTTATCTGATTAATTATCACATTTATAGTCAGCTTGATAGGTTAAATGTACCTTTATTTGTTTATTAAATTAAAAGTCATCCAATCCTTTACATATAACTATGGTTAAGATTTATTTCCCTGATCTGTTACCGGGACAACGATATCCCAGTCTGTAAGAGCGTTAACCTACATAACATCAGGTGAAGGTCCGAGGTGCGTAGTTCGATGTCCGCTATCCGTGACGGTATGTGTTTCTCAGAAAACGGACCGGTCTGTGTCCTTTCGCAAATATATCCTAATTGTTCTGGATTGCCTGAGACGGACCTTCCGTATGTTGTACAGTGACGCAGCCACCACTACAAATAACAGGCATCTCGAAATGGCCTTGGCCGCAAGTTCACGGGGCGGTAAAAACCAATAAAACTATTCAAACTGCCACTGTCACTGCCTACAAGTTAAGCTATATACTGGTCACTGTCTACTGTCAGGTGTCTTTTTGATTTACAGCAGTAAGTATGGTGGCATGTAACTGCCATCTACTTTTCGTGTTGTCGTGATAATTTATCGCGACAAGTCGTCATATTAACACGACTCGTCACGATAATAACATGGTAAGACGTCTTAATAAGATGACTAGTCGTGATAATTATCGCGTTAAACTGATCTTTAAGTCGCCTTAAATAGCACGACAACAAGACTTTTTGTCGCGATAATGCTCGGATGTGACACGCGGGAAAATTTTACTTTCTCTAAATATAGATGGTACGATGTTCGGGAACAAAATGTGCGATCATATCATGTATGCACACGA